CTGGCCTGCCTCCTGCCCTGCCTCCTGGCCTGCCTCTTGCCCTGCCTCCTGACCTAAGTGCTGACCTATTGTTATGAACTAGACTGTTTATAGTGATCTGCAATAGACTCGGTTCATATACATTCGTGAATTTACATACCGGACAAGTAGAGAGCAATTATAATAATGAATGCAAATTTTGTTGTAGGCCTAAGGTAAATTTAGTTAGGTTAAAAAGAACATAGAGATTTAAATGTAATCTCTATAGCTGGTAATATTTGAATTGGCATTTTAGTTCGAAGAACTTTTGGAGTTGGGTTAGTGATATGCGAATGTAATTAACGTAATTTAAGAAAGCGTTAGTAACTGATTATGTCTGTGAGGGTTAAGCGTTTGTTCAATACATATGTAACCATCTGTGAGGTCAAGGCGACTCACGCAGTGTTTCGGACACCAGCTGGTGGCGCTCCGCTGCCACGTCTCTACCTAAATTCAAAGTGAGAGATTAATAAACATAGTTTCCATGAACCGTCGAGTATAATATGCAAGATTGTTTGTGTTAATAATATTCCTTGTGGTTGTAGATGATGTATTGTCACTCAATAATTCAGTAGGGAATAATTTATTCGCACTGGAGGTTAGTGTAAATTTGGCAGCCAATTTAGGGCGGGAGTTAGACTTGCCGCCCTTCCGTAGATTTAAACGCCAGTGCCGTGGTGGATCTTGAGGGAGGCGGATGTGCGCAGCTGACTCAGAAATTAATGCACCTAAATATTTGCCGTATAAGTTAATACACTGTAGTAGAGTTTTCAAGTGTCTCAAGATTGAATTTGATGTGAATTTAAGTGTAACTCTTGTAGATCACTTATGTGCCTAGGTTAATTGGTTGTTGGGGATTATCGATATAATTACTAAGTTTCTATTGCACTATTACCCAATCGTTGTTGCAGATTGGAACGGATTGTTATATATCTATACCGGTCTTGTTATATATCTATAACTGGTGTAATGAACTGGACCGCAGGAAGGTCTATATGTTTGGTTCAGTCTATAGTGAATTATAGGGAGCGGAATGATATATTAATATTGTTTTAGGTAAAGAGTTCCATGACGCCGACTTCCTGCCTTGCTTCTTCCTGGCGTACGTCCTGCCCTACCTCCTGGCGTACCTCCTGGCCTACCTCCTGGCGTACCTCCTGCCCTACCTCCTGCCCTATCTCCTGGCGTACGTCCTGGCCTACCTCCTGGCGTACGTCCTGGCCTACCTCCTGGCGTACGTCCTGCCCTACCTCCTGGCGTACGTCCTACCCTACCTCCTGGCGTACGTCCTGCCCTAACTCCTGGCGTACGTCCTGCCCTAACTCCTGGCCTACCTCCTGCCCTATCTCCTGGCGTACGTCCTGCCCTAACTCCTGGCCTACCTCCTGGCGTACGTCCTGCCCTACCTCCTGGCGCACGTCCAGCCCTAACTCCTGGCCTACCTCCTGCCCTACCACCTGGCGTACGTCCTGCCATAACTCCTGGCGTACGTCCTGCCCTAACTGCTGGCGTACGTCCTGCCCTAACTCCTGGCCTACCTCCTGCCCTATCTCCTGGCGTACGTCCTGCCCTAACTCCTGGCCTACCTCCTGTCCTACCTCCTGGCCTACGTCCTGCCCTACCTCCTGGTGTACGTCCTGCCCTAACTCCTGGCGTACGTCCTGCCCTATCTCCTGGTGTACGTCCTGCCCTACCTCCTGGCCTACGTCCTGCCCTAACTCCTGGTGTACGTCCTGCCCTAACTCCTGGCCTACCTCCTGCCCTATCTCCTGGCGTACGTCCTGCCCTAACTCCTGGCGTACGTCCTGCCCTAACTCCTGGCCTACCTCCTGCCCTACCTCTTGGCGTACGTCCTGCCCTAACTCCTGGTGTACGTCCTGCCCTAACTCCTGGCGTACGTCCTGCCCTAACTCCTGGCCTACCTCCTGCCCTATCTCCTGGCGTACGTCCTGCCCTAACTCCTGCCCTACCTCCTGGCCTACGTCCTGCCCTACCTCCTGGTGTACGTCCTGCCCTAACTCCTGGCGTACGTCCTGCCCTATCTCCTGGTGTACGTCCTGCCCTACCTTCTGGCCTACGTCCTGCCCTAACTCCTGGTGTACGTCCTGCCCTAACTCCTGGCCTACCTCCTGCCCTATCTCCTGGCGTAAGTCCTGCCCTAACTCCTGGTGTACGTCCTGCCCTAACTCCTGGCCTACCTCCTGCCCTACCTCCTGGCGTACGTCCTGCCCTACCTCCTGGTGTACGTCCTGCCCTATCTCCTGGTGTACGTCGTGCCCTACCTCCTGGCCTACGTCCTGTCCTATCTCCTGGCGTACGTCCTGCCCTAACTCCTGGCGTACGTCCTGCCCTAACTCCTGGCCTACCTCCTGCCCTACCTCTTGGCGTACGTCCTGCCCTAACTCCTGGTGTACGTCCTGCCCTAACTCCTGGCGTACGTCCTGCCCTAACTCCTGGCCTACCTCCTGCCCTATCTCCTGGCGTACGTCCTGCCCTAACTCCTGGCCTACCTCCTGCCCTACCTCCTGGCCTACATCCTGCCCTACCTCCTGGTGTACGTCCTGCCCTAACTCCTGGCGTACGTCCTGCCCTATCTCCTGGTGTACGTCCTGCCCTACCTCCTGGCCTACGTCCTGCCCTAACTCCTGGCCTACGTCCTGCCCTAACTCCTGGTGTACGTCCTGCCCTAACTCCTGGCCTACCTCCTGCCCTATCTCCTGGCGTACGTCCTGCCCTAACTCCTGGCGTACGTCCTGCCCTAACTCCTGGCCTACCTCCTGGCCTACGTCCTGCCTGTCGGAAAATCCGACACCATTTAATATATCATACAGATAATAGCTGTATTGTATAAACAAGTTACCCATAGAAAACGTAACTTGTAGTGGAATTACCGTTTAAAGAAAACGGGATATCATCACCACATACCATTATAAATTCACCAGCTATTCTGCTGGGAATTATTCTTAAATACATTAGTCTTTGGACTTTACCATCATAAAAACATCTTATATAAATTAACTTAATTATCAATATTAAAGTAGAGTAAATGTGACCCTTCTATCACTTTCTGACATGTGGACAATGTAAGCCAGGCGTCAGAGTGAGGAAGGAGGGCAGCCATTGTTGATACTAGACCAGAGGCTCACGGGAGCAAATTCGGCTCCTGTTAAATTTACTTGGACGTAGTGTTATGGAAACCAAAGGTGTACCATTGTCAACACGCTGTCTACAAATTGAAGTTAAGTGTCTATCCGAAACCCGTTTATCATTCATTTATGGCCATTAATGTCAGGATATAGGGTGACCCGGTTAGATCACAAAATCGCCTCAAACTAAAGGTAATTAAGCCAGGTCTTCAATGTTCCATGTACAGTATTTTCTCTGATATAACTTGTCATATATAGGTATCTGGCTTTTCAGCTAGCGCCCTTTTGACAGGTCAAGACGAGGAAGCAAGATTTTGTGCACCAGTTACTGGGGGATGGAAGCTACCTCAAAGAGGATAATTTGGTGTCTACACCCTAGTTATACCTGGTGGACTAACCTGCTGTACTATAAGATAAGGAACCTCTTCAATGTATGTAGTTAATTCTGTAGTTTGATTGGCTGCATATATATTAATTTAATAACCCCCCCTAATGTGTAAAGGATCGATTTGTGAGATTAAGAGATTATTGCAGAAATACAGTCCACTTATCATTATACAAATTGCTATCGAAGTATATAAATTAACGTAAATATAAATTCATATAAATTAAATAAATATAAATCTCACAGGTCGGTTCCCACACTGCCCTACCTCCTGGTGTACGTCCTGCCCTAACTCCTGGTGTACGTCCTGCCCTATCTCCTGGGGTACGTCCTACCCTACCTCCTGGTGTACGTCAGGCCTACCTCCTGGCGTACGTCCTGCCCTACCTCCTGGCGTACGTCCTGCCCTACCTCCTGGCGTACGTCCTGCCCTACCTCCTGGCGTACGTCCTGCCCTAACTCCTGGTGTACGTCCTGCCCTACCTCCTGGCGTACGTCCTGCCCTAACTCCTGGCGTACGTCCTGCCCTACCTCCTGGCGTACCTCTTGCCCTACCTCCTGGTGTACGTCCTGCCCTACCTCCTGGTGTACGTCCTGCCCTACCTCCTGGCGTACGTCCTGCCCTAACTCCTGGTGTACGTCCTGCCCTATCTCCTGGCGTACGTCCTGCCCTACCTCCTGGCGTACGTCCTGCCCTACCTCCTGGTGTACGTCATGCCCTACCTCCTGGTGTACGTCCTGCCCTACCTCCTGGCGTACGTCCTGCCCTAACTCCTGGCGTACGTCCTTCCCTAACTCCTCGCGTACGTCCTGCCTTATCTCCTGGCGTACGTCCTGCCCTAACTCCTGGTGTACGTCCTGCCCTATCTCCTGGGGTACGTCCTGCCCTACCTCCTGGTGTACGTCAGGCCTACCTCCTGGCGTACGTCCTGCCCTACCTCCTGGCGTACGTCCTGCCCTACCTCCTGGCGTACGTCCTGCCCTACCTCCTGCCCTACCTCCTGGCGTACCTCCTGGGGTACGTCCTGCCCTACCTCCTGGCCTACCTCCTGGCGTACGTCCTGCCCTTCCTCCTGGCGTACGTCCTGCCCTACCTCCTGGCCTACCTCCTGGCCTACCTCCTGCCCTACCTCCTGGCCTACCTGCTGCCCTACCTCCTGCCCTACCTCCTGCCCTACCTCCTGCCCTGCCTCCTGGCCTAATTCCTGCCCTACCTCCTGGCGTACGTTCGTCATACTTCCTGATCGACATCCTTTCCAGCAACATCCTACTTCCTGTCTGTCATCCTGGCTTACTTCCTGTCTGTCATCCTGGCCTACTTCCTGTCTATCATCTTGGCCTACTTCCTGTCTATCATCCTGGCCTACTTCCTGTCTATCATCCTGACCTACTTCCTGTCCCACCTCCTGACTCACTTCCTGTTCCACCTCCTGACCTACTTCCTGTCCCACCTCCTGGCCCACTGCCTGTTCCACCTCCTGTCCCACTTCCTGTTCCACCTCCTAACCTACTTCCTGTCCCACCTCCTGACCCACTTCCTGTTCCACCTCCTGACCTACTTCCTGTTCCACCTCCTGACCCACTTCCTGTTCCACCTCCTGACCCACTTCCTGTTCCACCTCTTGACCCACTTCCTGTTCCAACTCCTGACCCACTTCCTGTTCCACCTCTTGATCTACTTCCTGTCCCACCTCCTGACCCACTTCCTGTTCCACCTCCTGACCCATTTCCTGTTCCACCTCCTGACCTACTTCCTGTTCCACCTCCTGACCCACTTCCTGTTCCACCTCCTGACCTACTTCATATTCCACCTCCTGACCTGCTTCCTGTCCCACCTCCTGGCCTGCTTCCTGTCCCACCTCCTTACCTACTTCCTATTCCACCTCCTAACCTACTTCCTGTCCCACCTCCTTACCTACTTCCTGTTCCACCTCCTGACCTACTTCCTGTTCCACCTCCTGACCTACTTCCTGTTCCACCTCCTGACCTACTTCCTGTTCCACCTCCTGACCTACTTCGTATTCCATCTCCTGACCAACTTCCTGTCCCACCTCCTGACCTACTTCCTGTTCCACCTCCTGACCCGCTTCCTGTTCCACCTCCTGACCTACTTCCTGTTCCACCTCCTGACCTACTTCCTGTTCCACCTCCTGACCCACTTCCTGTTCCACCTCCTGACCTACTTCCTGTTCCACCTCCTGACCTACTTCCTGTTCCACCTCCTGACCTACTTCCTATTCCATCTCCTGACCTACTTCCTGTCCCACCTCCTGACCTATTTCCTGTCCCACCTCCTGACCTACTTCCTGTTCCACCTCCTGACCTACTTCCTGTTCCACCTCCTGACCTACTTCCTGTCCCACTTCCTGTCCCACCTCCTGACCTACTTCCTGTTCCACCTCCTGACCTACTTCCTGTCCCACCTCCTGGCCTACCTCCTGTCCAACCTCCTGACCTACTTCCTGTTCCACCTCCTGACTTACTTCCTGTTCCACCTCCTGACCCACTTCCTGTCCCACCTCCTGACCAACTTCCTGTTTCACCTGAACCACTTCCTGTTCCACCTCCTGACACACTTCCTGTCCCACATCCTGACCCACTTCCTGTTCCACTTCCTGTTCCACCTCCTGACCTACTTCCTGTCCCATCTGCTGACCCACTTCCTGTTCCACCTCCTGACCTACTTCCTGTTCCACCTCCTGACCCACTTCCTGTTCCACTTCCTGTTCCACCTCCTGACCTACTTCCTGTTCCACCTCCTGACCTACTTCCTATCCCACTTCCTGTCCCACCTCCTGACCTACTTCCTGTTCCACCTCCTGACCTACTTTCTGTTCCACCTCCTGACCCACTTCCTGTTCCACCTCCTGACCTACTTCCTGTCCCACCTCCTGATCCACTTCCTGTTCCACCTCTTGACCTACTTCCTGTTCCACCTCCTGACCCACTTCCTGTTCCACCTCTTGACCCACTTCCTGTTCCACCTCCTGACCCACTTCTTGTTCCACCTCCTGACCTACTTCCTGCTCCACCTCCTGACCCACTTCCTGTCCCACCTCCTGATCCACTTCCTGTTCCACCTCCTGACCTACTTCCTGTTCCACCTCCTGACCTACTTCCTGTTCCACCTGACCTACTTCTTGTCCCATCTCCTGACCTACTTCCTGTTCCACCTACTGACCCACTTCTTGTTCCACCTGACCCACGTCCTGTTCCACCTCTTGACCTACTTCTTGTTCCACCTGATGACCCACTTCATGTCCCACCTCCTGACCCACTTCCTGTCCCACCTCCTTACCTACTTCCTATTCCACCTCCTGACCTACTTCCTGTCCCACCTCCTGACCTACTTCCTGTTCCACCTCCTGACCCACTTCCTGTTCCACCTCCTGACCCACTTCCTGTTCCACCTCCTGATCTACTTCCTGTTCCACCTCCTGACCTACTTCCTGTTCCACCTCCTGACCTACTTCCTGTTCCACCTCCTGACCTACTTCGTATTCCACCTCCTGACCTACTTCCTGTCCCACCTCCTGACCTACTTCCTGTTCCACCTCTTGACCCACTTCCTGTCCCACCTCCTGGCCTACTTCCTGTCCCACCTCCTGACCTACTTCCTGTCCCACCTCCTGACCTACTTCCTGTTCCTCCTCCTGACCCACTTCCTGTCCCACCTCCTGACCTACTTCCTGACCCTCCTCCTGACCCACTTCCTATTCCACCTCCTGACCTACTTCCTGTTCCATCTCCTGACCTTCCTGTTCCACCTCCTGACCCACTTCCTGACCCTCCTCCTGACCCACTTCCTGTTCCACCTCCTGACCTACTTCCTGTCCCACCTCCTGGCCTACTTCCTGTCCCACCTCCTGACCTACTTCCTGACCCTCCTCCTGACCCACTTCCTATTCCACCTCCTGACCTACTTCCTGTTCCACCTCCTGACCTACTTCCTGTTCCACCTCCTGACCTACTTCCTGTTCCACCTCCTGACCCACTTCCTATTCCACCTCCTGACCTGCTTCCTGTCCCATCTCCTGACCTACTTCCTGTCCCACCTCCTGACTTACTTCCTGTCCCATCTCCTGACCTACTTCCTGTCCCACCTCCTGACCTACTTCCTGTTCCACCTCCTGACCTACTTCCTGTTCCACCTCCTGACCTACTTCTTGTTCCACCTCCTGACCTACTTCCTGTCCCACCTCCTGACCTACTTCCTATTCCACCTCCTGACCTACTTCCTGTTCCACCTCCTGACCTACTTCCTATTCCACCTCCTGACCTACTTCCTGTCCCACCTCCTGACCTACTTTCTGTTCCACCTCCTGACCTACTTTCTGTCCCACCTCCTGACCTACTTCCTGTCCCATCTCCTGACCCACTTCCTGTTCCACCTCCTGACCCACTTCCTGTTCCACCTCCTGACCCACTTCCTGTTCCACCTCCTGACCCACTTCCTGTTCCACCTCCTGACCTACTTCCTGTTCCGCCTCCTGACCCACTTCCTATTCCACCTCCTGACCTACTTCCTGTCCCACCTCCTGACCTACTTCCTATTCCACCTCCTGACCTACTTTCTGTCCCACCTCCTAACCTACTTTCTGTCCCACCTCCTGACCTACTTCCTGTCCCATCTCCTGACCTACTTCCTGTTCCTCCTCCTGACCCACTTCCTGTCCCACCACCTGACCTACTTCCTATCCCACTTCCTGTTCCACCTCCTGATCTACTTCCTGTTCCACCTCCTGACCTACTTCTTGTTCCACCTCCTGACCTACTTCCTATCCCACTTCCTGCCCCACCTCCTGACCTACTTCCTATCCCACTTCCTGTTCCACCTCCTGACCTACTTCCTATTCCACCTCCTGACCTACTTTCCATTCCACTTCCTGTTCCACCTCCTGACCTACTTCCTGTCCCACTTCCTGACCTGCTTCCTGTCCCACCTCCTGACCCACTTCCTGTTCCACCTCCTGACCTACTTCCTGTTCCACTTCCTGACCCGCTTCCTGTCCCACCTCCTGACCCACTTCCTGTCCCACCTCCTGACCCACTTCCTGTCCCACCTCCTGACCCACTTCCTCTCCCACCTCCTGACCCACTTCCTGTCCCACCAGCTGACCCACTTCCTGTTCCACCTCCTGACCCACTTCCTGTCCCACCTCCTGACCCACTTCCTGTCCCATTTCCTGACCCACTTCCTGTCCCACCAGCTGGCCCACTTCCTGTTCCACCAGCTGACCCACTTCCTGTTCCACCTCCTGACCCACTTCCTGTCCCACCTGACCCACTTCCTCTCCCACTTCCTGTTCCACCTCCTGACCCACTTCCTGTTCCACCTCCTGACCCACTTCCTATCCCACCTCCTGACCTACTTCCTGACCCACTTCCTGTTCCATTTCCTGACCCACTTCCTGTTCCACGTTATGACCCACTTCCTGTCCCACCTCCTGACCCACCTCCTCCTCCTCCTCCTGACCTTCCTGTCCCACCTGACGTGCTTGTTGCTCTATTACCACTATTCACGGCCCTCTCCTTCCCTTAAACTCTATCTTATAACTCATCTTCCCCCTCCCTCCCTCCCTCTATCTCTCCCACTCCCTCCATCTTCCCCCCTCCGTGGGCCCGCTATCATGGCGTGTGGTTGTTGTTGTTAAAGATTCGCTACCTGGAACAAAGTTCCAAGTAGCACGGGCTATGGTGATCCCGCAGGGCGTGTGGTGTTGGTGCGGGCGGCAGCTCCACCCTCCACCGGTCTCTCCCACACCATCTCTCATATATAGCGCTCTAGATACGTGATGTATTGCACACATCATTGACCTCTCACCTGCGGGTGTCTCACAGGTGTTGAGTGTCTCTCCTCTGCTCTCCTGAGCGCCCAACCACTCTGGTCTGGTCAATGTGGCTATATAGAACGGGGATGGGGCTTGGGAGCTGAGCTATGACCAAGAAGTGGGAACTACCGCAGGCCATACAGGACGTTTCGTCCTCGGGGCAGGCTCGTTAAAGCTGCGGCCACACCCCCCCCCCCCAAGACGCGTTTAATACTTTTATGACTTTGTGTATTAACAGGTTTGTTCCTATTTATATATTTATATTGTTATATGTTAAAGTTTTATGTGTAGTTAGGAATAGGTTAGGTTAGGTTAGGTTAGGTTAGGTTAGGTTAGGTTAGATTTGGTTTCAGCGTCAGTTGGCGAATATTTGTATTTGTTGGTGTGGTGGAGTGTGGTGGAGGCCGGCTAGCGTGGTGGAGTGTGGTGGAGGCCGGCTAGCGTGGAGGAATGTGGTGGAGGCCGGCTAGCGTAGAGGAGTGTGGTGGAGGCCGGCTAGCGTAGAGGAGTGTGGTGGAGGCCGGCTAGCGTGGTGGAGGCCGGCTAGCGTGGTGGAGGCCGGCTAGCGTGGTGGAGGCCGGCTAGCGTGGTGGAGGCCGGCTAGCGTGGTGGAGGCCGGCTAGCGTGGTGGAGGCCGGCTAGCGTGCACTATCCCTTAAAGCCCGCCATTGCTGGTGTCAGCCAACCACTCACTCCTCTGCTGCCTCCACACACAAGTGTTCCAAGTTGTTTTTCGTTTTTTTTTGTAACAAATTCCTGTTCCTGCCTTCTTGGTGTGTGATGAGTTGTTGTGTTTGGGAGTTTTGTCTCTAACACTTCCTGACACCTAACATTTGACCTGTACCACCACCTGACACCTAACATTACACCTGTACCACCACCTGACACCTAACATTAGACCTGTACCACCACCTGACACCTAACATAAGACCTGTACCACCACCTGACACCTAACATTAGACCTGTACCACCACCTGACACCTAACATAAGACCTGTACCACCACCTGACACCTAACATTAGACCTGTACCACCACCTGACACCTAACATTACACCTGTACCACCACCTGACACCTAACATTAGACCTGTACCACCACCTGACACCTAACATTAGACCTGTATCACCACCTGACACCTAACATCAGACCTGTACCACCACCTGACACCTAACATCAGACCTGTACCACCACCTGACACCTAACATCAGACCTGTACCACCACCTGACACCTAACATCAGACCTGTACCACCACCTGACACCTAACATCAGACCTGTACCACCACCTGACACCTAACATCAGACCTGTACCACCACCTGACACCTACCATCAGACCTGTACCACCACCTGACACCTAACATTAGACCTGTACCACCACCTGACACCTAACATTAGACCTGTACCACCACCTGACACCTAACATTAGACCTGTACCACCACCTGACACCTAACATAAGACCTGTACCACCACCTGACACCTAACATCAGACCTGTACCACCACCTGACACCTAACATCAGACCTGTACCACCACCTGACACCTAACATTAGACCTGTACCACCACCTGACACCTAACATTAGACCTGTACCACCACCTGACACCTAACATTAGACCTGTACCACCACCTGACACCTAACATCAGACCTGTACCACCACCTGACACCTAACATTAGACCTGTACCACCACCTGACACCTAACATCAGACCTGTACCACCACCTGACACCTAACATTAGACCTGTACCACCACCTGACACCTAACATCAGACCTGTACCACCACCTGACACCTAACATCAGACCTGTACCACCACCTGACACCTACCATCAGACCTGTACCACCACCTGACACCTAACATTAGACCTGTACCACCACCTGACACCTAACATTAGACCTGTACCACCACCTGACACCTAACATTAGACCTGTACCACCACCTGACACCTAACATAAGACCTGTACCACCACCTGACACCTAACATCAGACCTGTACCACCACCTGACACCTAACATCAGACCTGTACCACCACCTGACACCTAACATTAGACCTGTACCACCACCTGACACCTAACATTAGACCTGTACCACCACCTGACACCTAACATTAGACCTGTACCACCACCTGACACCTAACATCAGACCTGTACCACCACCTGACACCTAACATTAGACCTGTACCACCACCTGACACCTAACATCAGACCTGTACCACCACCTGACACCTAACATTAGACCTGTACCACCACCTGACACCTAACATCAGACCTGTACCACCACCTGACACCTAACATTAGACCTGTACCACCACCTGACACCTAACATTAGACCTGTACCACCACCTGACACCTAACATTAGACCTGTACCACCACCTGACACCTAACATCAGACCTGTACCACCACCTGACACCTAACATCAGACCTGTACCACCACCTGACACCTAACATCAGACCTGTACCACCACCTGACACCTAACATCAGACCTGTACCACCACCTGACACCTAACATTAGACCTGTACCACCACCTGACACCTAACATTACACCTGTACCACCACCTGACACCTAACATTAGACCTGTACCACCACCTGACACCTAACATTAGACCTGTATCACCACCTGACACCTAACATCAGACCTGTACCACCACCTGACACCTAACATCAGACCTGTACCACCACCTGACACCTAACATTAGACCTGTACCACCACCTGACACCTAACATCAGACCTGTACCACCACCTGACACCTAACATCAGACCTGTACCACCACCTGACACCTAACATCAGACCTGTACCACCACCTGACACCTAACATCAGACCTGTACCACCACCTGACACCTAACATCAGACCTGTACCACCACCTGACACCTAACATCAGACCTGTACCACCACCTGACACCTAACATCAGACCTGTACCACCACCTGACACCTAACATTAGACCTGTACCACCACCTGACACCTAACATTAGACCTGTACCACCACCTGACACCTAACATCAGACCTGTACCACCACCTGACACCTAACATCAGACCTGTACCACCACCTGACACCTAACATCAGACCTGTACCACCACCTGACACCTAACATCAGACCTGTACCACCACCTGACACCTAACATCAGACCTGTACCACCACCTGACACCTAACATCAGACCTGTACCCCCACCTGACACCTAACATCAGACCTGTACCACCACCTGACACCTAACATTAGACCTGTACCACCACCTGACACCTAACATCAGACCTGTACCACCACCTGACACCTAACATCAGACCTGTACCACCACCTGACACCTAACATCAGACCTGTACCACCACCTGACACCTAACATCAGACCTGTACCACCACCTGACACCTAACATCAGACCTGTACCACCACCTGACACCTAACATCACTCTCCTAACTATACAACATCCGCGCTGGAATATAATTTTCACTAACACATAAAATAACATTCAGTTGATTAACCTTTATTGACAAAAATGTTGTCAATTTCCGGCGCGCGCGCGCGTGTGTAACAATGGTGTGAGTTTGGCCCGAACTTATTTAATGGTAAGACAATGACTGGCTAACTGCCTCATTACCACGGACACAATGTGATGTGTCATGGACATTAAATGACTTGTTGTAATACACTTGCCTGCAGTACAAGGTTAATACTTGACCGCGGGAGAGAGAGGATGGTTATTGACCGCAGGAGACGAGGTTAAACATTGACCGCGGGAGAGAGACGATGGTTATTGACCTCAGGGGTTAAGCTAAACATTGACCGCAGGAGAGAGAGGATGGTTATTGACCGCAGGGGTTAAGCTAAACATTGACTGCAGGAGCAAGGCTAGCCATTGACCACAGGAGCGACACTAACCATTGACCACAGGTGCAAGACTAATCATTGACCACAGGAGCCAGACTAACCATTGACCACAGGAGCAACACTAACCATTGACCACAGGAGCGAGGCTAACCATTGACCACAGGAGCAACACTAACCATTGACCACAGGAGCGACACTAACCATTGACCACAGGAGCGAGGCTAACCATTGACCACAGGAGCAACACTAACCATTGACCACAGGAGCCAGACTAACCATTGACCACAGGAGCAACACTAACCATTGACCACAGGGGCAAGGCTAACCATTGACCACAGGAGCGACACTAACCATTGACCACAGGAGCGACACTAACCATTGACCACAGGAGCAAGACTAACCATTGACCACAGGAGCCAGACTAACCATTGACCACAGGAGCAACACTAACCATTGACCACAGGAGCAACAATAACCATTGACCACAGGAGCGACACTAACCATTGACCACAGGAGCGACACTAACCATTGACCACAGGAGCAACACTAACCATTGACCACAGGAGCGACACTAACCATTGACCACAGGAGCGACACTAACCATTGACCACAGGAGCGACACTAACCATTGACCACAGGAGCGACACTAACCATTGACCACAGGAGCAACACTAACCATTGACCACAGGAGCGACACTAACTTGACCACAGGAGCGACACTCACCATTGACCACAGGAGCGACACTAACTTGACCACAGGAGCGACACTAACTTGACCACAGGAGCGACACTAACCATTGACCACAGGAGCAACACTAACCATTGACCACAGGAGCAACACTAACCATTGACCACAGGAGCGACACTAACCATTGACCACAGGAGCGACACTAACTTGACCACAGGAGCGACACTCACCATTGACCACAGGAGCAAGACTAACCATTGGCCACAGGAGCAAGACTAACCATTGACCACAGGAGCGACACTCACCATTGACCACAGGAGCGACACTTACCATTGACCACAGGAGCAAGACTAACCATTGACCACAGGAGCAAGACTAACCATTGACCACAGGAGCAAGACTAACCATTGACCACAGGAGCGACACTAACTTGACCACAGGAGCGACACTCACCATTGACCACAGGAGCAAGACTAACCATTGACCACAGGAGCAAGACTAACCATTGACCACAGGAGCGACACTCACCATTGACCACAGGAGCGACACTTACCATTGACCACAGGAGCAAGACTAACCATTGACCACAGGAGCAAGACTAACCATTGACCACAGGAGCAAGACTAACCATTGACCACAGGAGCGACACTAACCATTGACCACAGGAGCGACACTAACCATTGACCACAGGAGCAAGACTAACCATTGACCACAGGAGCGACACTCACCATTGACCACAGGAGCAAGACTAACCATTGACCACAGGAGCAAGACTAACCATTGACCACAGGAGCAACACTAACCATTGACCACAGGAGCAACACTAACCATTGACCACAGGAGCAACACTAACCATTGACCACAGGAGCGACACTCACCATTGACCACAGGAGCAACACTAACCATTGACCACAGGAGCGACACTAACCATTGACCACAGGAGCAACACTAACCATTGACCACAGGAGCGACACTCACCATTGACCACAGGAGCAACACTAACCATTGACCACAGGAGCGACACTAACCATTGACCACAGGAGCAACACTAACCATTGACCACAGGAGCGACACTCACCATTGACCACAGGAGCAACACTAACCATTGACCACAGGAGCAAGACTAACCATTGACCACAGGAGCAACACTAACCATTGACCACAGGAGCAACACTAACCATTGACCACAGGAGCAACACTAACCATTGACCAAAGGAGCGACACTCACCATTGACCACAGGAGCAACACTAACCATTGACCACAGGAGCGACACTAACCATTGACCACAGGAGCAACACTAACCATTGACCACAGGAGCGACACTCACCATTGACCACAGGAGCGACACTCACCATTGACCACAGGAGCGACACTCACCATTGACCACAGGAGCAACACTAACCATTGACCACAGGAGCGACACTAACCATTGACCACAGGAGCAACACTCACCATTGACCACAGGAGCGACACTCACCATTGACCACAGGAGCGACACTCACCATTGACCACAGGAGCAACACTAACCATTGACCACAGGAGCGACACTAACCATTGACCACAGGAGCGACACTCACCATTGACCACAGGAGCGACACTCACCATTGACCACAGGAGACCACAACACTAACCATTGACCACAGGAGCGACACTCACCATTGACCACAGGAGCGACACTCACCATTGACCACAGGAGCAACACTAACCATTGACCACAGGAGCGACACTCACCATTGACCACAGGAGCAACACTAACCATTGACCACAGGAGCGACACTCACCATTGACCACAGGAGCAACACTAACCATTGACCACAGGAGCAACACTCACCATTGACCACAGGAGCAACACTAACCATTGACCACAGGAGCAACACTAACCATTGACCACAGGAGCAACACTAACCATTGACCACAGGAGCAACACTCACCATTGACCACAGGAGCAACACTAACCATTGACCACAGGAGCAACACTCACCATTGACCACAGGAGCAACACTAACCATTGACCACAGGAGCGACACTAACCATTGACCACAGGAGCAACACTAACCATTGACCACAGGAGCGACACTCACCATTGACCACAGGAGCAACACTAACCATTGACCACAGGAGCGACACTAACCATTGACCACAGGAGCAACACTAACCATTGACCACAGGAGCGACACTCACCATTGACCACAGGAGCAACACTAACCATTGACCACAGGAGCAACACTCACCATTGACCACAGGAGCGACACTCACCATTGACCACAGGAGCAACACTAACCATTGACCACAGGAGCAACACTAACCATTGACCACAGGAGCAACACTCACCATTGACCACAGGAGCGACACTCACCATTGACCACAGGAGCAACACTCACCATTGACCACAGGAGCGACACTCACCATTGACCACAGGAGCAACACTAACCATTGACCACAGGAGCGACACTCACCATTGACCACAGGAGCGACACTCACCATTGACCACAGGAGCGACACTCACCATTGACCACAGGAGCAACACTAACCATTGACCACAGGAGCAACACTCACCATTGACCACAGGAGCAACACTAACCATTGACCACAGGAGCGACACTAACCATTGACCACAGGAGCAACACTAACCATTGACCACAGGAGCGACACTCACCATTGACCACAGGAGCAACACTAACCATTGACCACAGGAGCGACACTAACCATTGACCACAGGAGCAACACTAACCATTGACCACAGGAGCGACACTCACCATTGACCACAGGAGCAACACTAACCATTGACCACAGGAGCAACACTCACCATTGACCACAGGAGCGACACTCACCATTGACCACAGGAGCAACACTAACCATTGACCACAGGAGCAACACTAACCATTGACCACAGGAGCAACACTCACCATTGACCACAGGAGCGACACTCACCATTGACCACAGGAGCAACACTAACCATTGACCACAGGAGCGACACTCACCATTGACCACAGGAGCAACACTAACCATTGACCACAGGAGCGACACTAACCATTAAATCTAAGGTGCCACAAAATAATAGAAATTTTTCATTTACAATCAGAGTGGTAGACGCTTGGAACAAGTTAAGTGGTGGAGGCCAAGACCGTCAGTAGTTTCAAAACGTTATAGGACAAAGAGTGCTGGGAAGACGGGACACCACGAGCGTAGCTCTCATCCTGTAACTACACGTTTAAGCAAGAGTAATGTATCAACATCAGGTGAAGGGCGATTGTCCAACAGCTCATGGTGTCATCTCTTAGCACACATGGGTGGGAAACGCACACACACACACACACACTCACGCACGCACACTCACGCACGCACACTCACGCACGCACTAATGGAAGAGAGTAATACATAGGGTTTATACACTCGGGGAAAGAGTGCTTGGTATATGGGTGTGGGGAGGCTGAGGTCTAAGATGGGGAAAATAATAATCCTCTTTTTGAGTGCAGGATTTATCCACGGGGAGTGTCTGTGTAACTCATCTTTAACATGTAGCTGGTATAGGTAGGCTCTCTGTCTCTGTCTCTCTGTCTCTCTCTCTCTCTCTGTCTCTCTCTCTCTATAATCTCGCATACGCCGCAGATGTTATTATTTTTATGTGGGCTTCAGGAGACAGGGTTGGCGTGATATCAACTCCTAGATCTTTCTCTCTATCCTTTCGTGAAGGACTTCATCTCCCATTCGGCATCCTGTGTCTGGCCTCCTGTTTCCTCCACCTAGTTTACACCTTTATACCTTACATTTACTTGGGTTGAACTTTAGTAGCCATTTGTTGGACCATTCCTTCAGTTTGTCTAGGTCATCTTGTAGCCTCATACTATCTTCCTCTTTCTTAATCCTCCTCATATTTGTGTGTGTGTGTACGAGGAACACTTCCTTGTTAATTTACTTTGGTTTCCTTCAAGAACTTCCTGGCATCTACAACCATTAATGTCCCTTGGATTTTGTTATACTGTAATCGTACCTGGGAATATTTTAATCTGTCTTTCTGACAACCTGAATATTTGATTCCCTTCGCCGCTCCACGTAATGAGTACAGCTGATCAGTTGGTCTGTTTCCTGATGAGAGTTCCAATGTGTTCCACCTGAGATACAGGAGTGCCAATGTGTTCCACTTGAGATACAGGAGTGCCAATGTGTTCCACTTGAGATACAGGAGTACCAATGTGTTCCACTTGAGATACAGGAGTACCAATGTGTTGTACTTGAGATACAGGAGTGCCAATGTGTTCCACTTGAGATACAGGAGTGCCAATGTGTTCCACTTGAGATACAGGAGTGCCAATGTGTTCCACTTGAGATACAGGAGTGCCAATGTGTTCCACTTGAGATACAGGAGTGCCAATGTGTTCCACTTGAGATACAGGAGTGCCAATGTGTTCCACTTGAGATACAGGAGGGCCAATGTGTTCCACTTGAGATACAGGAGTGCCAATGTGTTCCACTTGAGATACAGGAGTGCCAATGTGTTCCACTTGAGATACAGGAGGGCCAATGTGTTCCACTTGAGATACAGGAGTGCCAATGTGTTCCACTTGAGATACAGGAGTACCAATGTGTTCTACTTGAGATACAGGAGTGCCAATGTGTTCCACTTGAGATACAGGAGTGCCAATGTGTTCCACTTGAGATACAGGAGTACCAATGTGTTCCACTTGAGATACAGGAGTGCCAATGTGTTCCACTTGAGATACAGGAGTGCCAATGTGTTCCACTTGAGATACAGGAGTGCCAATGTGTTCCACTTGAGATACAGGAGTGCCAATGTGTTCCACTTGAGATACAGGAGTGCCAATGTGTTCCACTTGAGATACAGGAGTGCCAATGTGTTCCACTTGAGATACAGGAGGGCCAATGTGTTCCACTTGAGATACAGGAGTGCCAATGTGTTCCACTTGAGATACAGGAGTGCCAATGTGTTCCATTTGAGATACAGGAGAGCCAATGTGTTCCACTTGAGATACAGGAGTGCCAATGTGTTCCACTTGAGATACAGGCGTGCCAATGTGTTCCACTTGAGATACAGGAGTGCCAATGTGTTCCACTTGAGATACAGGAGTGTCAATGTGTTCCACTTGAGATACAGGAGTGCCAATGTGTTCCACTTGAGGTACAGGAGTGCCAATGTGTTCCACTTGAGATACAGGAGTGCCAATGTGTTCCACTTGAGATACAGGAGTGTCAATGTGTTCCACTTGAGATACAGGAGTACCAATGTGTTCCACTTGAGATACAGGAGTACCAATGTGTTCTACTTGAGATACAGGAGTGCCAATGTGTTCCACAATGTTGAGATACAGGAGTGCCAATGTGTTCCACTTGAGATACAGGAGTGCCAATGTGTTCCACTTGAGATACAGGAGTGCCAATGTGTTCCACTTGAGATACAGGAGTGCCAATGTGTTCCACTTGAGATACAGGAGTGCCAATGTGTTCCACTTGAGCTACAGGAGTGCCAGGAGATACAGGAGTGCCAATGTGTTCCACTTGAGATACAGGAGTGTCAATGTGTGTTACCACTTGAGATACAGGAGTGTCAATGTGTTCCACTTGAGATACAGGAGTGCCAATGTGTTCCACTTGAGATACAGGAGTGCCAATGTGTTCCACTTGAGATACAGGAGTGCCAATGTGTTCCACTTGAGATACAGGAGTGCCAATGTGTTCCACTTGAGATACAGGAGTGCCAATGTGTTCCACTTGAGATACAGGAGTGAGATACAGGAGTGCAATGTGTTCCACTTGAGATACAGGAGTGCCAATGTGTTCCACTTGAGATACAGGAGTGCCAATGTGTTCCACTTGAGATACAGGAGTGTCAATGTGTTCCACTTGAGATACAGGAGTGCCAATGTGTTCCACTTGAGATACAGGAGTGCCAATGTGTTCCACTTGAGATACAGGAGTGCCAATGTGTTCCACTTGAGATACAGGAGTGCCAATGTGTTCCACTTGAGATACAGGAGTGTCAATGTGTTCCACTTGAGATACAGGAGTGCCAATGTGTTCTACTTGAGATACAGGAGTGCCAATGTGTTCCTCTTGAGATACAGGAGTGCCAATGAGTTCCTCTTGA